GCCCTGCGCTGGTCTCGCTCCAGCGCGTCCGCATCCCTCTTGGACTGTGGAGCCCAGAACTGGACACAATACTCCAGATGTGGCCTCACCAGGGCTGAGTAGAGGGGCAGGATCACCTCCCTCGACCTGCTGGAGACGCTCTCCTTAATGCATCCCAGGATCCCATTGGCCTTCTTGGCCACGAGGGCACATTGCTGCCTCATGGTCACCTTGTCATCCACCATGGCACCCAGGTCCCTCTCTGCAGAGCTGCTCTCCAGAAGGTCGGTCCCCAGCCTGCACTGGTGTCTGGGGTTATTCCTCCCCAGGTGCAGGACCTTGCACTTGGCCTTGTTGAATTGCATGAGGTTTTTCACCGCCCAGTTATCCAGTCTCTCCAGGCCCCTTTGGATGGCAGTGCAGCCCTCTGGGGTATCAGCTACTCCTCTTGAAGCTTTATAATGCACCTGAGCTGTATTTTTCAAGCTTTGTTTTTATCAGCAATAATAAGGAATCCTGATCTCTGGTTCATGACATCCTATGGCCCCTGCATGATCTGTGATGCTGTGGATGTAACAGAAACAACTTTGCAATTTGCAGCTGTGTTACAGGGCCTTTAGCACTCCATAACAGCACACTTTGGGCATGCACACTGACATATTACTTATTCAGAGGAAGTGAAAACCTAATAATAAGGACCATTAGTTACTGGTCGTTTTTCTTAATTCATGACTGAAAGGTTCTCAGTGCAGTTAAGCAGAGGTTAGAGCCCTGTAGGATGATGTACCAAATTCCACCAAATGTCAAATTATATGACATGGACCTGAACTTGAAACGTAAAGTTCCCCAAGGCTTAAAGAAAGGTTAGCTGAGACATAGAGAAGAGGTTCTGTAAGGCTACTTGCTAACTTCAAGAGATGTGAGATATTAACATTTCACTTTGATTTTACAAGGCTTAGAGTGCTTTGCTCTCCTTAGTTTATGAGAAAGAGAAAATCAAGTTTGCTGATCAGTGTAGTTTGTTTTATTTCCAGCTTTGTCCTACTTTTACTCAGTGTGAGCTTAGTACCTGACTTGTAGAAGGTGGGTGTGTAATCTCCCCAAATAAGAGCACCCTTAAAATTTAAGAGAACTAGCGAGGGATAAAGCTACAGCCACAGCAGCATTGCAAATCTGCTTTAAAAGTGACAAAGATGAATATATTATTCCTCTATGGCTAAGTGAGGTTGAAAAGGGCAGATAAATAAAAAGGAAAAATCCTAAAAGACAAGGAAAGCAATGGGAGGTTCTTCGAAGAACATTCTAAGGCGGCAGTTCAAATGAGCAGTTCTGCTTTGGTACTGGCTCCTTGTTCTTTTTCAGTTCTAAACCCCTGTGCTGAGACAAGGCCTGGAGTAAAGCACTAGGTAACTGACTCAGCTAAAAGCAACGTTTCTATTTTGCTGGGTTATTTTCTAGCAAAATCAGTGGCATGGTCCTCCTACCTCATAAGCACAAAAATCACCATGGTGGCCAAAAGCAGTTGGAGCACGGGAGTGAAAACAAGTTTCTGGAAAGGTGCAAAAGAGAGGCTATGAGGGGATTAAAAATGAGCTGGAGATATGCTCCAAGACTGGCTCTTTCTGCAGTAGTTTCCATTACAAGAAATTCCCCAGGTCTTCCTAAGCAAATTTTATTACATCTTCCTCCTGTCAGAGCCAACATTTCAAACCTGAACCATGTCATAAAGTAGAAATAAGACTCCTTTTTCTCCACATTGTAGTGTAGCTGTGAGTGCATAAGAATAAAGCTCAGTTTGTCCGTGTGACTGACTTACCCATTTTGCAGTTTTCCACTATGAGTTTGCAATAACATAAGTTTACAGTGCTAATATAAATCACAGAATGGTTGAGGTTGGCAGGGACCTCTAGAGATCCTCTAGTCCAACCCCCCTGCTCCAGCAGGGACACCTAGAGCACGTGGCACAGGGTGGCATCCAGGTGGGTTTGGGAGATCTCCAGAGAAGGAGACTCCACAACCTCTCTGGGCAGCCTGTTCCAGGGCTCTGTCACCCTCACAGGAAAGAAGTCCTTCCTCACATGGAGATGAAACTTCCTGTGTTTCAATTTGTACCCATTACCCCTTGTCCTGTCACTGTCATCCACTGAGAAGAGTTTGGCCCCATCTTCTTTATATTCTCCCCTCAGGTACTTATATATACTGATTGGATCGCCTCTCAGTCTTCTCCAGGCTAAACAGGCCCAGCTTGCTTAGTCTTTCCTCATATGATAGATGCTCCAGTCCCTTAAACACCTTTGTCGCTCTGCGCTGGACCCTCTTTAGAAGCTCCACATCCCTCCTGTCCTGGGGAGCCCAGAACTGCTCACAATACCCCAGGTGTGGGCTCACCAGAGCTGAGCAGAGGGGCAGGATCCCCTCCCTCGACCTGCTGGCAACACTAAGTTTCCCTGGTGTACACAGCCCAAAAGATTCTGTTGCTGTAAAGGCAGTTTAAATGCTTCAGATCCTTTCACAGTCTGGCCTGTGGAAAACTGTCAGTACCCAAACTTACCAGCAATGGATAAGACGGCATCAAAGCACTCACTTCGGTATGGCAGACACAGGCTGTGACACACCATCACCTCATGGCCTTCATTTCGTGCAGATTCCACCAACGGGAAACAGTAATCGCAACCCAGTTTATAGACTTGAGAATTGATGTGAAGGTATTTGCCATTTCCACAGCCTGAAGGAATAATGAGGAGGAGAGAGAAAGGTGGTCATGTGGCGTCTGTGCGAAACATAATGTGCTCCTGACATGATGCATGCCCTTGAATTGCTTCAACAGCTTGAAATCCTCTACCCATTTTAAAGATGATATGATTGCGGTGCAATTCAGGTGCTTTTCTTGCCATTACAGTTCGATGAGCACAGACTGCTCCTTTCTCTCTGCTGCTTGACAGGAGGTGTTCAAGTGGGATGGCTGGAGACTGTTTACCTTGGCCTTCCCCCCACGTAGAGAATCAAACACATTCATGGTAATGATGCTACTGCAATTCCTCTTCCTCTAGTCACAAAATGCTAAGCGAAAGCCTCATGCAGTGGGTGCACAGGGCTAAATTATTCCTGTGTATTGAAACGCTGATAGAGGAACTAGGAGGCTAAGTAATTAAGTCACTATTAGACTAAACCATTAAATCCATTGTTTGCTGTTTAACTGCTGCTAATTGCGGTCACCATGACAACAGTGAAGTTCCTTTTTTCCCCTGGTATCTCCATGCAGTTTCCTTTCCATGATGGAGGTTTGGACATGGACACCTTCCCAATCTGAAATAGTTCTTGTGTTGAAATAAAGGCACACGTCCTCAGATAATTATTCTTATGTCAGTAGTAAAAGAGATACTAGCTAAAATTTTGGTAATTTGTTTTCAGAATTATCTGGACCTTAACACAAAATTGATCTTGCGTCATTAAAATGATTATTCAGATTAAGATCAGGGAAAAAATGCATTGAACTAACATAACAGCATTTACCTTGTGCATATCTTAGTTCACATCCTGTTTACGGCTGCGCTTACATCAAATATTAAGCTTGGGTCAGAGCCCAGATTTTATCCATAATTTATTTTTTTTTATAATTACATTTATTTTGGAGCCTCTAAATGTTCAATCCCTCTGTTTAGGTTACAGCTATCCCATAGAACCTATTCTGAAACCCCAGGTGAGTCCCTGTACTCAGTCCAGAGCCTCCCAGCCCTGACAACCTGTTGCAGCATTTCAACAGAAGATGAGTCACTGCTGAGTCGTAGGCAGAAGTCTGCTCCCAACTGCTGATCCTGTCTGCCGAGAGTGGAAGGAAAATATCCAGAAAATATCTAGAGATCCCACAGTCCTCTTCATGGCTATGAAATAAACCCCAATATTGCTGAGAGAGGTGCTGTTAGGCAGTGCCAGTCACTGGCTAGTATTACACACAATTTTTGGAGGAGAAAGAGAAGAGGAGGACTATCCTGGAGCTCTGATTGGAAGTGAATTCCTGGACTTCTTCTTCTGCTTTTTACTTCTGCAGGGAAAGGCTCCAGTATGAGCCAGCAAGAGAAACTACCACAAGTATTTCTACTAAACTGATGCCAGCGCCTGCTGCCCAGCTGGGAAGGACAGGGCAGAAGCTCTGCAGGGAGAGGTCTCTACAGCTGGATGGCAACTCTGTTGGCAACCTCTCCGACCATGGACACAACCAAACTGTAACAGCTGCCTCCATGTGCCAGGAGTCCAGCCTGAGCTTATATTAAAGCTTATATTATTCTACATTGGTGAAAAGATCGGCTTGGTGGCTCACATTATATATTTGTTCATATTGAAAAAAGTGTGCATTCTTCCAAGATCTGTTATGAATATATTCTATATGCCATAGTCAACATTTAGGCTGAGATAAACTGGAAAAAAACATGGTAAAGCTTGAAAGACATCAACAAGATAATATGATTAGCTCAACAATCAGCTATTTATTGTCTCTTTCATGAACATTACTGTATTATACTTAAAGCTAAAAAGTAAAAGGGAGGAGACTATAAATGAGTGTTGGTGGAAAGTATTACAGATTGAAAAAGATGTTAAAAAAAAGATATTAGAGGTCTAGGCTAGACACGTAGCAACAACTACATAGCCATCTCAGATCTCATTTGGGCAAGCGGCATGGCTTCTGCTTGTGGGGTAGGTACAGAATATACAGTTTAGGAAATCTCTAACTTACAGGTCTTAAAAACTGTAACATGATTCCCCAGAGCACTAGGAACAATGTCATGATACTTGTTTCAACTTGGCCAGACAGAAAACCCATTGTAAGAGCTATGAAAGACTTAAAATTCTGGAGTTATGCACACATACAAACATTAGTATCCACTAGCAACATCTTAAGAAATTTAAGGGGTAGCATTTGCTGCTGGGACAGTCTGTATATACTTATGAATGGTGGAGAAAAATTGAGGCAAATTTGATAGCCGGGCCATTTTGTTTCACAGCTTGCAGACAAGCTCCAAACTCTTCTGCCACAAGTATTCACAGAGAAGTCATCTCTACCTTCTCATTAGCAACGTGATAAACGGGCTCACTCACCAATGTCAGCAATGAGACTGCCTGGTTCCTGTTCTGAAATGAACTGCTGCACCTTGGGCCATGCCTTGTAGCGTGCATCATTGAAGTAAGGAGCAACTTTCTCATACACACTGTGGACGTGGTCCCTCTCGAGCTGGCTTGCCTCCTTCTCCATCCCAACAAGGCGAGACTAGCTCATGGAAATCAATGCAACTGTCCTGGAGAAAGTAAGAGAAGAAAAAGAGGTGCAGAAACTCTTGTTACCAAAGTACATTTCTGTAATTCAAGCAATAAAGTATGTTTAGAAAGCAGTACTTCCAAATGCTATATTGCCATTAAGGAAAAACTGGTGAGGCTTTTAAAGAAAGATATCCTACTCTATTATTTTATACAATACATAGTTTTATATAAATTTGAAAGGGATTTTAGGACCCATTACTCAGTTTTTACTGACTTGCTTATATTATTATACCTCTAAAATATGTTAACTCTTCATTTACAGTCTTCTTTTTTCAGTCTTTCCTTAAAGTTTGAAAGGGATTTTAGGACACATTACTCAGTTTTTACAGACTTGCTTATATTATTACACCTCTAAAATATGTTAACTCTTGCTTTATAGTCTTCTTTTTTCAGTCTTTCCTTAAAAAAAGGTACATTTTAAGTTCTTTGCATACAGACACATCTTAAAAAAGAGCAACTTATTATGATGATCAATAGCGAAATCTGCTCGCAGGCTAAGAGCAGACGTCTGCAAAACGTCTGAGAGGCATGAACTCTCCTTCTCTGCTCCGTGCAGTGCCCTGCAAAATCCATGCTTAGGGACTTGCCATTGCACAACTCATTGACACCATGTGTTGCCGTGGAGAAAAATCTTTCAAGCTTTCCAAGAATCATTTTTTGCAGCTGTTCTGGATTGGCACGACGCACTGATATTAGCAAAGCCCGGAGGAAAACCCCGCGATGAGCTGGATGGTGTTGTCAGTCATTCCCATCACTGTTCAGTTCACCGTGAAGCTTTGTAAAACAAAGGATTCCAGCGGAACTGATGAAGCTGTAAAAATGAGGAGCTTCATTTAACACGTTGCCCATGCCAGCATTCCTACTGATTTATGTGAATGAAGCACCAAGACAGGTGGCTCCTCCTCTACCCACACAGTGCAAACAATCCCAGGCAGAAGAACTTCTCTAAGGCACAGTCAGACGTATTGATGAAGACACCTCACCCAAGGGGTCTGCACAGTATGTTGGCCATTTGTCTGCCCTGAAACAGTCCTTATCTGGTTCTTTTTTCAATCCCGTAAGTTGTTAAAGTGCCACTGACTCAAAAGACTTGTTCTGAAATTTCCTAGGTAATTCCATAAACGAAAAGAAAGCTGGAGTCTAAACTCAGTTGCTATAACTGACATCAAAAACTACCTATAGAAGAGTTTTGTTCATGTTTTTGATTAATCTCAGAAACTATGTTAAGATTAAACCCTGTGGCCGCTTGTTTCTGCCATGTTTGATATTCAGTCAGTGCTGCTGCGGAATGGGCCAGGCTATTTCCTGGAATAAGCTGCCTGTGTCAAAGTCATGATGAGTTTTGGAGTGAGGTGAAGAAATTCTTTGGAAGATCGTTGTTATATTCTTTATTATGCAGGCAGATGTCTACATAACATCCGTTTTAGAAATACAGGTAATAAATAAATAAGAATGACTGAGAACTGTCTTGCTTTAGCCTTTCTTGCACAGCAACACTCGCTTTAGCTGCTGGTGAGATTTAAAGGCCTTGCCCTGGCCTTTCTTATGCAGAGGCTTAAGTCTGTGTGTGCAAACAGGAGCCCCGAATGCCATTTCGGTGGGGATACTCCTGGGCATCGAGCTCACTGCATGCACTGGTGCCTGCAACACTGGCTCTCCAAGGAAGAAGGATTTTTTTATTGCTCTTCATAATAACCAAACTCTGATGTAGAAACTAGCTTTTTTTTTTTATGCCTTTAAAAAAACAGATTGAAATAGCAGAAGTGCTCTACTGGGCATCATTTCAAGAGGAAGCTGAGGTACTATCAAATACACAGGGAAAGGCAGAAAGAGGCGAGAAAAAGAGAGGGAAATTGTTCCTTGGAAAAACTGCAACACTGCTATTGCTTTACTTGACATGAGGAAATAATAACTGGTAAAGTGATGTCAGATCACAAGAGCGAAGACGGCAGAACTGTTCCTGTTTAAATCCAGGCTTACCATCCATACACTTCACTTACTTAGAAGCAGGAGCTGCCTGCCCCCCAAAGCAACCAGAAGTTGCCAACCAAGTTGCTTGGTAAAAGAAGGTATATATGACATATCGTTAGCAATGGAACATATCGAGTAACTTTCAACCTTATGAAAAAGAAGATTTCAGTGCAGAAAAAATATCATGAGTAGGTTGTAAAAATGGCTTCTCCTCTGGAATAGAAGCAATAAAGATATAAAAGGGGCTACGATTAAATACTTCCTAGAAGGAAGTGAGACACAGGATCCTTTGTTTTCAAATGGTGGTTTGAAGAGTGAGGGGAATGGCTGGTTTGTCTATAATTTAAAAGCCCAGAGAAGAAGTTAGCTTTTTATAAGGCTCTTCTTACAGAAAGCAATCCTTGGCGGGGGAGGCAGGGGGAGATGCACCACGCACCGCGGGGCCCAGGAACCTCTGACGTTTATGACCACAGGAGCTCCATGAACACCCATTGCAGATGCTTGCCAAGCCATAAAGCACAAAACACTTGCCCCCGCTCCATTTACTATGTCTAGTACAATGACCGAAGGCCATTTGAAATACAGTGTACTAAAGGAAGAAAAGTAAAAAAAAAAAATGAGGCCACAGCCACTAAGTTTATTAAGCAAAATTGTTCAGATAGATAACTCTAGGAAACTAGTTATGACCCACACTACAGAAACTGAAGCCAAAATAGAAAGATGTGCCCGGTCTGGCCTGGGGGGAATTTCCTTTCTGGGAATTCAGGTTAAAGTATGCGCTTTATCCATGCCAATGCGAACGTGAAAGATTCTCCAGTTTCTGCAGGCTCCCCAACATCCTTCCCTTAGTCCCAGAGAAAGCCAGAAAGGACTTTGGAAACAAGCTGGGCATCGGGGAGGCAGAACACTTTCTGAGCAGCACAGAATCAGATACCCAGTGGTGCAAGTCTGGAGCATTTGCATTTTATGTTGATACTGAAACCTTACTCATAAGCAGGGCTTTTAGGAATGCAAATATTTGCTTTTGAGCATACTCACCTCACCTTTATGCCAAAAAAAAACCCAAAACAAACACACAAACAAAAAGCAAAACAAACAAACAGAAACAACTATTCACCAGGAGTTGATGAGAAAGCAAAAAGAAGAGGTGCAGAGCAGCAGGTCAGCCTGACTGCCTATCACACAACCCTTAGCTAAATTTGACACAACTTGATTGAAAGTAAAATTAAATTTGAGCTTAAATGTCATTAAAACCTCTGAGTTCATAAGTGATTACTAACTTGCTAGCTCGTGTGAAGCCTCTGGCTGCTCTTTGGGCTGCAGGCGCCCCATGCCAGCCATGCCTTGCACCACGACGGGCCAACGGAGACCCTCACACGGGGCTGCTTCGGCCGCGTGGAGCGTTTGTGAAGATTTAAGTGTCAATTCAAAAACACTGTTTAGGGGAAGGGGAAGAGGTTTTCCAGCTCTGCGTGACTCCGGCATGCCCAGGAGCCCCACGCTGCTCACCCAGGCCACACAAGCGAGGAGCTCTCAGATGCAAGGAGGGAACGAAGCCGGCGCAGGGACATGTCCGAGCACGAGCCATCCCCGTGGGAGGTACCTCCTGCCACGGGCTGCAGAGGTGAGCGCAGCTCCTGCGCTGCTGAACACAGCGCCTCAGAAATGGGAGTTACTCAAACCTTGGGGGAATTAGCAGCAGCAAATGATGCAACATCTGGCCTAACATGGCCAAAAGACCAACGCAACAGCTCCATGAGCAAATTATTCCCAAAATCTACAGAAAAGATGGCAGTCATTTCCTTTCCTCTGTCAAATGAATACTTTTGTGAGAATATTTTTTAGAACTCGTTTGATTCTCCTCCATCTGTGTCGTCTGCATCATTCCTGTCTTATACACAAATGTTAAAAATAAGTTATCATGTTCCTATGAGCGTGGTTGTGATGGAGAAAAAGCAACACATCTGAGTCCCATCTTCCCATCTCTAGTGCAAACTCCCCGGGCTGCTCACTGCTCCTCGCTTCTCCGAACAGCAGGGCTTCTCTCCACTAGCTCTGCTTCCCCGGCCCTCTCTTTGCGTGTGTCTGGCACGTTAGCAACTGCGTCAAAGCGGCTTCTCTGGAAAGCACCTCATCCCTGCCTGAAACTATGCAAATAAACGGGCTGGTCGTCAGTCGTGTCCCTTGATCCATTACGGAAAGGGGCTCAGGTGAGTTTCTTCTTCCACCGCTGTCTGGGGCTGGTGGCAGTCGTAGCTGGCGCGCTGTGTCACTCAGAGGAGCTGTCCCTACCCTTGACAAGCAGATGAGAAAAGAACAAGGGAGGTAAAACTGCAGAACTGGCCTTAAAGTCCGGGGATGACGGTTCCCACGAGATGTCAGGATCTGGGGAAGGACTGATTAATGGAAGGGGAAATGCAGGCTGGGGGCACAGAGGGAATAGGAGAAAGTAAGGCGTGAAAGAAGGTACATGGGAAGAAAATGATAAAAGGGAATTTTATAAATAATGAAAAGGGAAAATGAAGGGCGAGGAAGGGAATGAAAAGGAGAAGAAAAAAATGAAAAAAGAGAGGGGATGAAAAGCAAAGACATGCAAGAAGCTCCAGGATAGCTTTTTAATTAGCTTTCCTTGCTGCTTTTTTTCCTGCCCAGATACCATCATTCTCTGGCCCCGCATCGTAATCTGACGATCACTCAGCTACTCGGTGGCTCATCAAAACGCCGCGATAGCATCACGGAGCGCAGCAGAACTGCCCTTCCCGCCGGCCCGACCCGCACGACTCCACGGCGGCCGGAGGGCGACGCGCATCCCGCAGCTCCCCGAAGCCGCGGGGGCGGCAGCGCACGGAGCCGCGCGTGGACACGTCCCCGGTGCCGCCGGGGAGGTGGCCGTGTGGCACAGAGAAGCAAGGGGGAAAAGCAGGAGGGAACGATGGGATTCGCCCTTGCTTCCTTAAAAAAGCTGGACGTGGGAATGACAGAAGCGGGGGCAGTCTCACCTAATCTGGAAAACTAACCCTGAGGGGCAGTCTCGGGAATTCCCAAATAACCTATCCTGCTTCCAGAGAGGCAGAAGCAGA